GGAGGCCGCCGCGGCCTCGACGCGCGCGAGCGGCGCGGGCGGCGGCGCGGGCGCGGACGCGGCGCCGCGGCCGCTGGTGCTTGCGGGCTCCTGCTGCTGCTGCGCGCCCGCGTGGCGTGGGGCCGCGGCCGACGCGGTCAGCACGGCGGCCGCGTCCTGCTCGGCAGCTGCCGCTGACAACTGCAGGTCTGCCACATCAGCCTGCGAGGAGCCGACAAGGCCGTGCAGCGCCGCAGACGCTCGTATGCAAATCTTCGCAGCGTGCAAGGGCTGGAGGAGTTGCAAGTGCCTTTGCATTGGCGGCGTGCCACGCGCCAGCTGCTCAACCGACGTTTACATAGACAAAGCTGATTTCGTGTGCAATCCGGTATCAAAGTCCCCATTGACGCTTTGTGGCGCTACCCTCACGCCCAGGTCCGGCTGCAGCGAAGTGCAGGAGCAGCGAAGCGGCACCAGCGGAGCGCGAGCAGCGGCGGCACGGTCATCGCGGCTTACCCGACTGTTGCCATTGGCGGCTGCGGCACAAATCTGGCTACGCTGACGTCCCCAAACGTTACTGCTGGGTCGAGCATATCTCCGGGGCACAGCCCGAAGGCTATGCTGACGGCTGCTGCTCCTCAATGCCCAGGATGCCCCCGAAGGGGCTCCCTGGCGCATTTGAGCCAAAGATTTGCGATACGCCTTTCGCTACGCCTGTGCGAGGGGAACCGCGTACTACCTACTGGCACATGATGATCTCTATGATCAAGGCGATAAACCTCAATACATTCACGCGTGATTGCCTGTATGTGGGGTCTGATTCCACCAGAATCAGCGCATAATCCACAGCAGTAGAATCTGGGTGGAACACTCGATGCGCCACATACGGTACTGGCTTGCCTCCCCAACACAAGTGGGAATGTTCAGAATTGCACACACAGTGGCAAGTGCAGAGTGTCGGCGGATAATATGGAAGTACAGATGATGGACCTACAACACAACTTACATGCAGTCGGTTGGTCAAGGAAGGTCAACCGGCGACAGCACTCATGCACACCCAGGCTTTGAGCATCTGCTCCTTGGCGTAAACGGCTGAAGTGCAATCTCATCGACGTGTAGTGATCTTTTAGTGGACCGTATGGCAGCTCTGTCTAGATGAGAAGGGGTGCAGGCAGTTGAGGCTGCGTGCACTCCCTGGATTCAGACTGCCACAAAGCAGCCAAACAAAGTCTGAGCATGCGTGCCATGCATACATCGTGCCGGCAGAGTGAAAAACTGTCAGATTGAAAATTAGGGCTTCCCTTGGGTCATGGTTTTCCAGCAGCCGCCGGCGTTGGTTTTCATGACGCTAGCTGCGACATCCCTTAGTGCCTGCCAGGATTGAGTGATGGTTCTTACAAATGGGCATACCGTACCAGTGGCATACCGTACCAGCGCCCATGTTAGCACATATTGTCTAAAATTGTGTACAGGCCTGTAAATCAGCACTTTCCAGCAACATATTGTTGTGATGGACAGCACCCTCAAGTAGGGTCTCCCGGCCTTCACTCACAAGGGGCCAATGCTGCCTCTCCTGTGGGCTCACCAGGCCTCTGCTTGGCTGCCCAGGCAATGGCCACCCAGGGCAGGTGGATGGCCATAGATCACACAGTATAACAGGTTAAATCGATGACTGGGGCTGTACGAAGGCGATCGGCTTGGGACCTGCACCGCTGCAGCGCCTGGTGACGCGGTGACCCTCTGACATTCAAAAGCAGTGCCAAACGGCCCAGCTGGCAAAAGTGAGTGGGAAAGTGTTGATCCAGAAACAGCAGTATTTAGGACCGGCGTCGCGGGCGGCCGCGGTCGTTGGAACTTTACGTGCTGTGTGGTCTGGCGAGCTCTCGCTTCCTTTCCGAAAGCATTTCATTTGATTCGGGGTACGATATCAGTTTGCTTGTTTCAAACACACGGGCCTGCGCACGGACGAGGTCCACGCCATCCAACCACTGCGTAAGCGGGGGACAGGCACCGCTGTGGCCCCAGCGATGAGCGCATTGGTAGAGGACGAGCAGGTTTGCTGGATATGCTTCGGCGGTGGCGCCGTCATTGATGACTGCGGCCGGAGTGCGGATGTGGCAACGTGTGACGCGGCGGGCGGGTCGCCGCTGGAGCGGCTGTGCGGGTGCTCCCAACGCCTCTCACACCGACAGTGCCTCGCACGGTGGCAGCTGCACTCCGCTGGGAGCCCAGAGGTGCGCGGCCGCGCACTGCGTTCGCTGGCATATCCTGCCACGTCAGCGCTTCGTGTGCGCCGCGACTCACATAACGCCTGTAGCATGAGGCCGCCACCGTGAGGGCACCCCACCCCCGTCCCGGCCCCACCACCTCTGACGGCTGTGCCACCCTTGGACACATGCTTAGGTCATGCACAAGCCAATGGGCACCATGCAGACTGCCCCTGTTACAACAACCATCAAGATGCCTGACACAAGCACCAACCGCATCTCTTCAGGCCTCACCCGCACGCTGACGCTTGCGCACGCGCGCCCCCACACACGCACCCTTGATGTGATCGTCCCCATACCCAGGAGCACACCTGCCGCTTCTGCCACGAGCAGCTCCCCTCCTGGCGCGACGCCATCGCCGCGCACGCCGCAGCCGCC